TAAATAATTATTATCTTTATAAAAAATTATATTATTAAACCAAATATAAATTACTTCGTTATTGTACATAAATTAAATTATAAAAAAACTAAATTAAAAAATTACATAAAAAATGAGGAATTTCAAATAGTTAATTTGATACTAATATCGATATATTTTTGTCAAATTTTTATGATATGTTCAAACATATATTTTATTCAAAAATAAAACATCATCGCTTTCTCAAAATCACATAAAGCCATATTATAACATCAGCCGAGATAAATAATAAAATGAAATATTAAAATCACGATGTATCTCGCTGTATTGTACGAGTACGCTTCTAGTATCAATAAACAATACTTATTTTTAATATTTTTTTTCAAATATTTTATAATTTGAAGAGATTTTATTTACTATTTTTCAAATATTTTATAATTTGAAGAGATTTTATTTACTATTTTAAAGAAATTATCTCTAGTCGGATATGCTCTAATTTGCAAGTTAGTTGGCACTTGGCCGTCACCGACGATGTAGGCCCAGTACCGTAACTTTATAACTCGAGATGCCCCCCACAAAGCCCCCACAGTCTGCCAACCGCCAAGGTTTGAGATCATATTCCAAATTCTAAATTTTTTGGTGAATGAAATAGAAGAAATCTCTCTACGATTTCCTTCTACAGAAGTTCAGCTTTGAGATATTGCCCAAAAATATTCAGGTATCTGTGCAGCATTACATTGGAAAGTGGGTTTATTCATCTTGTAAGTTAAAGCTTCTCTAGGGTTCTAGTATATATACACGCTTTTTTCTAGTGAATTTGTGCTTATCGGTATCTGTTATTGTGTTCATGGTGATCGCTTAACCATACGTGTTTGCAAAGCATCATATCTTTTCTGATTTTTCGATGCATGGGGATCGAATGTTTGTTGATGGAGCTGTGATTTTGTCCAAGTGTTTCGGGCTTGTGGACAGGGTTATCTATCATTCTTGATTTTACTTCGCTTAGTGTTGCAGAACCACAATTAGTGATTTCCTTTTGATTTCAGGCGAGAAGTCTAGCTTCAATTTAGCTATTTTTACGCTGGACCTCCCCTACAGTATGGTCACCTCAGTAGAGTTTAACCACCAAGTTCGGGATGGATTGGTTATGCCTTTAGCTACATGATTCCCCTCCCACCGAAAGAAAAAGGAATCTAATGATTTCGTGTTTTTATGAGTTTTCTGTCCAGGGCAGCTAAATGCATTTTTGGTTGCCTCTCTTTAAAGTTCTTTGCCTATTTGAACATTAATAACCATTGGTTATCAGATCAACAATCGAAATTAGACAAGTATATGTGCATTTAAAGCATACAAGAACTCTTAAATTCATAAAACTAAAGTAAGAAATTCTACATGTTCGTTGCTCACTGAGCTTAAATGGACCCTTTTTTGTACTCTTTGTGTGCCTTTGTTCCTTGATATCTATCAACTCTTTTTCACTTTGTGCATATTTCTCATCCATGTGGGATTTCGATTTAATTTGTAAGAGTAAATTAACAAATGGCTTGCTAGAGTCTCTTAGCATTTCTCATTCATGTGTTCTGGCCTTGTGTTCGAGATGTCAAATATTGTCTTCCTCATTGTTTAATTTGTCTAAATGCAACTTCACATTAGGCTTGTGTAATGTGCAAAATGGTTATCCTTCTATCGTAGTAAAAGTCAGTCTGAAGGAAGGATTTACCCTTGAAATGGGAGAGTAAAGCACATGAAATGGGATTTTGGCGGAGAAGAATGCATGATGGATACCCTTGCACATAAAAGAAACCTAACAAAAAACAATGCGATCCATATGTTGGAACATATACTCTTATCATGGCTAAGTTGATATAGATAAAGTTGATATGTATTTTCTCTAAAGGTTCTGCGAGATTGTCAGCCAGTTGATATTTGGTCCAAAGATGAACAAATTGTATGGACATAGGATGTATAGTATAGTTCCTGCGAGTCTGTGATGGTTGTGTGCTAAAAGACAATCAACTTCTATGTGTATGGTACATTTATTAAAACATGTTCTTTGTTATATAAGTGGCACGCTATTACCTACTGCCACATGATTATCTGGAAGAGTACCTTGTTCAGGTGGTGGCTATCTTTTAAACTGGGTGTTGCTATTTCACATCTTTTTATTGATCTTCTTTTTATAATCTTCACAAGTATGTTCAAAGCAGTATTCTCCATGTCATCTTTCATAGGTGAAATTATCCATGCCATGATGCTTGCTTCTTTGCTACATCGAGAAATTGTTGCTGTTTTGCGCCCTTCCACCAGAAAAGGCTGTAAACAAATTCATAAGCAGTGGTGATGGGCGTAGGATGCCGATGGCAATATGATAGTCCGAAGGGGGAGAACAACAATAGTGGGCTGTTGTTGGAAGGGAAATTATTTAGGGGCCTATGGTTTAGGCTATCAAAGCCTTAAATGAAGCACCTCGAAAAAGTTTAGGGTCTTATCGAATGATTTATTGATGCATATAGGGAGTAAATGAAATGGACTCTTGGCTCATGGACTGACCAACATACATAAGAAAAATTCTTATGTAACAAAAACCTAGAAAGATAAAAAAATTATAACTATGGACCCCTTTTTTAGTTTTCTTAAATGACTTGCATAGCCTAATTTGCCTATAACAATTTCTCATCAAATTGTTTGAGCACCCAATGTTAGCAACTATACAAACATCACTAGGACGAGATATAGTGGTGTAGTTAGTGCTTGTCGAAACTTTAAGTGTTGTATTTCAAGTATTGGTGGAGAATACACTTAAAAGGAGTTTGAAGTCTATTGTCCAAAAGAAGACAAAAAACATGAGAAAAAATATGTTACCTCATGAGTCATGACACAACAATCTTGTGGATAACTGAACCACATCGTTACCAAAAATGCACATAGTGTGAACTGCTAAGCATGTAAATACATATTTTTTGCAACAACCTTGGTGAATTGACATCATACACAATGCTATAATGTCATCCTGGAACAAAATTAAAATTTGTTGTCATTGGCTTTAATGTTAAAGATTACCGGATTGTGATAAGTAAAATTCATGATAAAAATCTGTTTGATATTGACAAAGAGGGACAATCCTTTGAGCAACCAACAAGGTTAATTATTTGTTGACTAGGTTGTTACATGTTTGAGTCATAAAAACAAAGATTTCTAGAAATATGCTACCTATCAAGACATTTGGCCTAGGTCTTGCATAACTGAGCACCTTGGTGGGTTGTGCTTGTAGACTGTTTGACAAAGATTGTTTCCTTGAGAGAAGCTGAGTTTTGCAACTCAATAAGGATGAGCCGACTAAAAGCTACATACTTCTCGCTATTGGTTTGGAGGAAAAAATTATTGGATTAATTCCTGATGTGGGATAGAGAAGATAAAGAGAAAAAAGACTCACATAGATTGTTGACAAGAAAAGATAAACATGAAATAGTGTTGGTACTAGTAAACGAAGTAGGCATAGAGAAAATCTGGAAAGATTGCTGAAATATATGAAAAAACTCTCATGTATTAATTATTGTTGCCTATAGGGAGTAACTCTCGTCTAAATGGGTTGAGCTCTTCCCATTGGAAATCGTCAATTGTTTGGACATCAGTTTAGGGTTTTAGTCACAAAGTGATTTGCATTACAAGTGTAAAATGTGGAAGTGTTGTTCCATTATATTTGGGCAAAAAGTTGATTAATGGTAACCCCAACTGGCCCCTTATGGAACCTGCCTCCAAGTACACCAATGTGAGGGGGCATTTTTTGGCTCACTCAGCGGCTGAGGCTTGGGGGATTGAACCCAGGACCTGTCTTGTATTTGGGTAAAGTCACCCCACCCCTTTTCCAACTGAGCTACACACCGAAGGCGCTGTCCTATTATATTGACTAAGCGTTATTTCCTGTTGGTATATATGCCAAAGAGGTTTGGAAGTGTGAAAACATTTTCGGTTGTGTTTTGGCAGCGAGTTATCAAAAGAAGTTCATACTCCCCCAAGTATCTAGTCAAAATTTGGGAATGATGTTTACTCTTTTATAGTGGAAAGACATCAAGCTTTCCTCGTGGTTCTTCCCTCTGATTGTCTTGGGGGATAACGCTTTAATTCTTGGGGTCTGCGTTTTGCTAATTAGTTTATTCTTGGCAATTTCTTTTGTGCTCGTTGACACGTCCAAATAGGAATCCATCTTTGTAGATCCCAACAATGCATTTATTTGTCTAGAAGTATGATTTCCGTATAAGGACGTGTAGTCAGTTAATTATACAAACATGCTCTATAATAGGGATGTAGTTTGTAGAGGTAGGGGTGTAAATGATGCTAGTTGAGCTCGAGTATTGGTCTACTCAGCTCAAACCCGAACTCGATAGCCATTTTCCAAGCTCGAACTCGACTCGAAAACTCGCAAATAGTTAAAAGCTAAACTCAACTCGAACTCGATTGAAATTTTTTAAACTCGAACTTGTTTGAAGCTTGAACCGATCTCAAACTCGAACTTGGACCAAGCTCATCTATTGAAATTTATGAAATATTAGTTTATCTTATAAATTATAAAACTTAAAGGTGTTCTCTTAAACTTTATAAAACTCAAGGATGCACCTCAAATTTCACCATCAAATGATGAAGTACAGACTCAAATCACCCCTCTCTTTTTATAACGCATCTTCACCCTTCCTTTATTGTCTCTCTTCCAATGTTGGGACAACTTCACCAACATATTTATTTTATTTTAGTTATGATTTTAGTAAAAAAAAATGATTAATTTTTATAGTTAAAAAAAGTATAATTTTTTTTTTCAAATATCTAAAATTTTAAGACATTTTTTTGGTAAGTTTATTAATGAAGTTTTACATTATATTTTACAAATTATATTAGAAAACTAATTATATATAAAAAATCGTGTATCTCACGAGCTTTTTGAGTCGAGTATTGGGTAGTTCGACTCGTCTTGTTAGTGTGTCGAGCTCGAGTTCGAGCCTAGCCTATTCGAGTGGAGTGTACGGAGCTTTGACCGAGTCGATCTTGAGTAGCTCATGAGTTGTCTTGTATCATTTACACCCCTATGTAGAGGCATGAGAATGGTTAAGAACATCCTAATTATGGTTTTGAGATGGGACCAATTTTCATTCTCACATCCTCCCTATCTGACACCTTGGCAAATAACGATAACAATATATATATATATATATATGTTTAACAGATAAAACAGAGGGAAAATGGTCTTTCCAAAATGCACCTATGTTGCATTCCTCCCCCATAATTTTCTCACTTTAGTTGGATCCGTTTGCCGTCTTAATAGTTAAAATTCTTTGCAGTATGCTTTCCGCTAGGTTTCAGTCCCTGTCATCAGGTTACATGCAGAGAATCTTTGTTGAGACTGCCTTAATGGTTCATATAGTTAGTGTGTCTAGCTTAAGAAACTGAGGGGTCAAACCTGATTAATTTCAGCAGACTTCTGTGTGTTCTTCACTTTCGTACTTGTGCAAGATATTCAAATTCAGATTTGTTATCTCCATGTTTTAATACCTGGTTCTCATTATTTCTGTGAATGCTTAGTGACATATTGATGGGTTATGTTTTGACTTCTATTTTTGGTCCGGTGGCCATTATTTTCTGTTGTAGTTAAAGTGTTGTCATCATATGTTTCTGATGGGATGGAGAGGAGCACTAATTTCCTTCTCTCTCACATTGACTGAGTCCTCAAGCAGATCAATACCAATGTGGTCAACCAGCCTCAGTGCTGAACATTCTTTTCTCTACAGCTGGACGATCTTCAGTGCAAGCTTTTGTGTGCTCATTGCTCTTGTCCTTTCAATGTATCTAATCTTTGAGCACTTAGCTGCCTACAATCAACCTGAGGTATTGCATTCTCTATGCTTTCAAATTAGGCTTTCCTGTTTTGCATCCCTTGTATCTAGTATGTATCATTTGGCAGTATAATTGCTGGCAACCTTTCTCGGTGCCCTGTTTAGCTTTATTATGATTCATGAAAATTAGATCTTAGCTAGCTATTTTCATCAGCTCACACTGATGTTAGCGAGGATTACATCTATTTCAGGAGCAGAAGTTTTTAATTGGGCTCATCCTGATGGTTCCTGTTTATGCCCTGGAATCGGTATGAGAATTCATGCTATTTTCTCTTTTCGCACTCGTACTCTGATACAGTTTCTATTTGCTATGCTTTACTAGAGCTTGAGGAATTTAACTGTATGCAATTCCATTTCTTTGTCCGTTTTTTGGTTGCTGAGAGGCTGAGCAATTTAAGACAAGTGTTGTGCTGATGTTTTGTGGGCAACCTCTGGTGAACTAATGTACATGGAGAAGAGTGAAACACCTAAGTCTCTGTTATGTCATGTGCAGTTTGATGTATCAAAAATTGTGACCAGAAATGATAACATTAAAACTATATATGGACATACGGACTTCTGTGGAATTATTTTGAGGTTTCCTTAATAGGCTATTATACTTTATTGCTAAAGAGTAAACCAATGGGTGAGTTTAGTACATGTTGTGAAACTAACTTTAATTATGTATTGGTTTTCTATGTTTCTTAATGATGTAGTGGATCAAAGAAATGGTTCCAGTGTGCTGTTGCCAATTTTTGTTTTGTTACTATTGATCAGTCCAACTAAACACTGAACCTCCATCAATGGACTTTGGGACTGTTGGAGAGGGAGGAAAACATATTGGCCCATAGAAGCATCTGTTGCTGGCTGTTGTTTTTGTATCTGGTAGTTGAGTATCTGATGGTAATGATTAATATACAGGAGTCACTTGTTTGCTGCATATATTTTTTTATTGTGTGAGAGTTAGCGTTTAGATGTTCACTTGTACTAATATGCATGCTATAAGATGTGTTTTCTGCAGTCCTTAAGGTCATCCGTGTTTAGTATATCTTTCAGCTGGTGATTTACCAATGTGATTATCTTCAATTCTATTTGGTGACTACCAAAAATCCTTAAGTTCTAGTCCCATGATCTTGAATGTTTTGTAATTAAGTTCCTATTCCATCAGTCTTGCTTTGATGATATCTAATTTTCACTTTCCAAATGTGAACAGTTGTTGTCATTGCTGGATTCAGATGCTGCATTCAACTATGAATCAGTCAGGGACTGTTATGAAGCTTTTGCTTTATATTGCTTTGAGAGATATCTGATAGCCTGCTTAGGTATGTTTCTGTGAGAACCTTTTCATTGATGATTGTAATTTTCAATATGTTATATCTTTGTGCGTTCAAGTAAGGTTTTCCTTACGTTGTGAAACCTGATAATGTATTATCTTCATTTCTTAGTTATCATGTTTTCAAGTTTTTATGTAACATATATTGTTATAATGCTGAAAGAAAATGAGGTTGTTGCAAAATTCTTTACCCTAACATTGTTTTTCTACCTCATTGTTTAAGTTGGATGGGTCATGAATGAATTAATATTAAAAATTCAGTTGATCTATCAGATTCCAGAATTTCATTGCCTTGCTACATTTTATTTTCATCCTTCGGAAAATTAGTTTCCAGAATTACATTACCAATTTATGCATACATGCTCAGTTGAGAGTTTGTGATTTGGAACACTGCTCGCACCTCCTGCTTATTTGATCAGGTAGTAACAATGATGGTATACATCTGGATGTTCCATACTGCACGTTTTAAAATGTTGCGATAGGTTCCATCATTTTGTGCTACAGTAGACTTGTATGGGATGTAAATATTATTGTGATTACAGAAGGGAAACGATGATTGTATTAAGTTCACTCTCTTGTTGGTCGAAGATGTGTTATGTGAAGCATCTGGCGATACCAGTGACTGCATTTACCCACACTCAACTTGACGTGTACTATTGATAAAGATGTTGAATTGAATGTTGTAGAGTTGTAGTCATTTGGACAATGTTGGTTAAACAACATAAAAGTTCTCATTTCATATGTTCAACACAAGCTACCTAGCATGCAACATGTAGTTTAGGATTCCATCCAACTGGGCTGCTAAATCATTAATAGGAAATGCCTATCATTTGACAATACATTTTGCCATTCCTTATACTTTCTTTTGAGGTTGGGTCTATGTGCCTTTTATCATCCCCCTTCTCAAATTCTGTTGCATTTCTGCATTCCTTTGGCATATTCTGGTGCTCCGCTTCCTATTCTTTTAACTAGTATTTCTTAATAATTGTTATGCTGATTGAAGGTGGAGAGGATAATACTATCAAGTTCATGGAAAGTAAAAGCCTAATCAGCTCTAGCATCCCCCTTATAGAAGAATCATATGCTTATGGAATTGTGGAACATCCTTTTCCGTTGAATTGCTTGCTGAGAGAGTGGTATCTTGGTCCTGAGTTCTACCAAGCTGTAAAAATTGGGATTGTGCAATATGTATGGCCTTTTGTATTTGACCTTGTTTCAATATAAAGGTTTTACAATTCTACTGTGGCTTTATCCTTATCCAATCTGATGAAAATGTTTGCTTCCAGATGATACTGAAATTGATCTGTGCTTTGCTAGCAATGCTTTTTCAGTTTCTTGGAGTTTATGGTGAAGGGAAGTTCGAATGGGGATATGCGTAAGATGCTATCTCTTTCATCACACTTTTTTTTGCAAAATTTTGTTACAAATAGCCTGTTTACCAAGTAGTAGACTCTGACTAATTGGTCATGACACACATATATTTTATCTTTGCAGCTATCCATACTTGGCGCTGGTTCTTAATTTCAGCCAGAGCTGGGCCTTGTATTGTCTTGTGCAGTTCTATTCAGTAATCAAAGATAAGCTAGCACCAATTAATCCTTTGGCTAAGTTTCTGACTTTCAAGTCTATAGTATTCCTAACATGGTGGCAAGGTATTGCTGTCGCGTTTCTTTTTTCTATGGGAGCCCTTAAAGGGTCTTTGGCCCAGGAGTTAAAAACGCGCATTCAAGATTATATTATCTGTATTGAGGTGAGTTATGGAGTTTTCTTTTGGTAAATTATTCTTAATTGCCTTTTAGTTTCTGTGGCTACTTATGTGTTGGCCAAATATTGTGATTAACTCATCTCGTAACTCTCGTTTAGTTAATGCTCAACTTCACAAAGCCAGTGTTAATGGTGATAATATATTCTGTACTCAACTTACGAAGCTTTTATCTCAAACAACTTCATGTAGGCTGGTGCCTTGAGTACCCCTGTGCCCAGCGCATGTTACTTGAGGTCTAAATAGTTAAGAACTGTATGTAAAATGAGGTGGTTGAGTATGGTAGTTGCCATGTTTCTATTTCTTCGGTATCGATCTCTTTCTTTTCTCTAATTATCTTCCTGAATTTCACAGTGGGATGTTTGCAATGACTGTCGTCTTTCATTGCCCACTTTTAAATACATTTAACGATTATACACTTGGTTGAATCCAAGGGGAAATGTTTTATTTCTTCTTCGGTCAAAATGCATTGTATTTGTTAGAGGCCGTTTACTCAAACGCTTGCCCAGTAAGCACTTAACTGGGTAAGATTCTTGTTCATGAAAACGGCATTACACTTATTCAAGTTTGGTTTGAGTTGGTTTATGTGGTAAGCATTATTCTCATCGATGAGAACTGTAGTCATTGGGAACAATGGGGGTTTTCTTCATTCTGGACATAGTTCTGATCCGCACCTTCCTATCTACCTCTCACAAGTCAGGGGTCTTCAAGGAAATATCGCTCTACCCTTTGAGGATAGAGGCAGGTCTGGGTACTTGTCGCAGACCCACCTCTAGGTGGGATATAATGGGCTCGTTTGTTTTGATTTGAATTTTTTAGTTCTTATGCACCTCTAAACTTGGGCTCCACTGCCATACGGATATTAAATTGTGACGAATGGACACAGAAAATTTACATTGATCTATTTCTTTTGAATCAACAATCTCTACTTGACTTGTGTATGGAGTTGCCATATACTCTTGTTATTCTGTCTCACAAGATAGGCTACACTTTGACCTAAACTTGTTGAACAGATGGGTGTTGCTGCAGTGGTGCACCTATATGTCTTCCCGGCAACACCTTACAAACGGGGAGAAAGATGTGTACGGAATGTTGCTGTGATGACCGATTACGCATCATTAGGAACAGCACCTGCTCCAGATGAGGTTCGGGACTGTGAAAGAACCACAAAAAATCGCTTTGGCCAGAATGAATTAGAGAAGCGTATGAAGTTCCATCAGAGTGTTCGTGATGTGGTTGTAGGAAGTGGTGAAATTGTGAGTTCTCAACCTTTTGCTCCTCTTTGCTCTGAATCCCTTCCATCAAAACTGTAATATAAAGAATTTATGTTTTTGTTCTTAAAAACTCTTAATTTCTTAAGAGTACAACGTTTAAAACATAAAGTATAAATTATTAATGCATATAAAATTTTCGTAATTCGTAAAATATTCTTGTTTTGCCCTTCTTTTAAATGTTAACAAACAAAGTATTTGGAACTCTCTACTACCCTTCCCAAATATAAGGTCAATCAACCAAAGAAATGACAAACATTTGATATTTTTGGAAATCTCATCTCACAATTGATCAATTTCCAAAAATACAAAAAAATCATAAAAATTAAATTTAAAACAATTCAATTTTTGGTTTAAAATTAAAGTTTACATTCTTCAATATCGCATAGGTACACTTCAAGTTTCTAATTATTTCTCTTGCATTCTTGGCTTGTTTTGTGTTACACCCCTCACAGATTGTTGATGATATGAAGTTCACAGTTTCCCATGTCGTGGAGCCGGTTGAAAGGGGAATAGCGAAAATAAATAGAACTTTTCATAAGATATCGGAAAATGTTAAGAGACATGAGGAAAGAATAAGGAGCTCGAAAGATGACAGTTATGTTATCCCTTTAAATTCTTGGACAAAGGAGTTTTCTGAAGTGAATGATAATATAGAAGGAAGTTTCAGTGACAGTGGTATCTCTGAAGGGAGGAGGCAGCGTCGACAACCACAAGTCTTCATTTCTTGTTCTAATCTCTGATAGTTTTACAGCATTCTTAACAAGAAAAAGAAGAGAAGGACCCCTTGGATGTCATCAACTTATGTTGGTAAGTGTATATTAACTTATTAGATGTGATTAACTCCATACCTTTTTCGAAGTATATAACATTTATATACAACAACTATTCACCCACACTCCATACATTTGGTGATTTTGAACCTTGGCCTCCACCAGGGTACCACTGAGCCAATGACCCTTTGGTAACTCCATCATACTTGTTTCATATGCAAAAAGAACATGACATTTTGCAATAATTATAACAAGGTTCATGGAAGATGGTTATTTGTGCATTTATGTCCTGTACTTTGTCCAGAATTCACAATTGGTTTTGGGGTGGTATACTTGCAAAGGCTCCATAGTTGAATGACCTTCCGAAAATTTTCTGTTAATCCATAACCTTCTGACAAGTTTTAGCATTGGAATGCCCACTTCAATACACCGTTAATACATCTCATCTAAGGTCAATGGCCTAAATAGTCTCTGGCCAGGGTTCGAGTCTAGCAGCTGCAGTGTGAGTGTTACAATTTCCTTGGGGGTTGCACATGCTCTTGTGGCGGGTGGTGTGGGCCAGCTCGGTTACAAACCCTTTTGCACAAACAATGTCTTAGAAGTGTAGTGTTTTGGTCTTTTTCTTTTTTTGCAAGAAAAATGGTCTGTTTGCAACAAAAACCCAACCCTTATGACGTTCAGATACAATCGTTATCAAATTAATTCAGTTTTTGGTGATGATGTGTTCCTTTTTGTTGCAGGTTGATTAACATGATTCCATTACCGAATGTGGATGATAACTACAATCAGGTTAAAGGACTAGGAGTACCGAAATCCTTGGAAGATATTATACAGCAACAATAGAGGTATCAGCTATGGATTTATACACGTAACACCCTCCATATGTAGTCGTACTATGACTTTMTGAGGGATTGAACTCTAGTCATACAATTCGTTATCATCTAACAAAGAAGTCAGCTATGGGCAAGCGTTGGGGTGGGCCACCAAAGCGGGTTTAGCAGGTTAGAGCCTAGAAGAATCGTAAATATGATGCAGGATACTTTATTCACATAAGTGTTTGGAAGGAATGCATTGCCGATGGTTGAGTTGTATATAATAAGCAAATATGAGGGAAATAGGATGTTTACTGCTGTATGTTATGATTATCATCGACATTTTCTAGCTAAATGAGAAGTTATGGTTCCCAATTGCTTAACCCAAAAATAGCAGTGTTTCATATAATTAGCATTATGAAACAACAACGAGATACAAATAATCGTTCTGAAGATACAAATATTCATTCTGAAGATTCAAATATTCATTCTGAAGATACATGCAAGTGCTGAATTAGTTTCTCCAAATTAGTCATTGATGAACCAGAATATGCCTCATTTGCCGCCTTCTTCCATTCAATGGCATTCTTCCTCATCTCTTTTCCCTTTTCTCCGTCCATCAACTCGATCACTAGCTTCGATACTTCATCCCTCTTCACATCGTTATCCATCTCTAAGGCGATACCCCACTTGTTGCAACTCAACCAACAATTCGTCTGTTGATCTGCAAAAAACGGCCAACAAATCATCGGGACTCCGTTAGAAATACTGTCAATCGTTGAGTTCCATCCACTATGTGTTAAAAACCCCGCGATTGATGGATGATTCAGAACTTGTTCTTGGGGGCACCAACTAGCCAACAACCCTCTATCGCTTATCTCCGTTAAAAACTCCGATGGCAGCACCGCGGAGTCACCAATCACGAGGTCTGGTCGTATTATCCACAAGAATGGATAGTTGCTCTTTGCTAATCCCCAACAAAACTCGATTAGTTGTTGAGGTGGCATTACCACAATGCTACCAAAATTCACGTAAATAACTGACACCGCAGGTTTTGAGTCTAGCCATTTTAAACACTCGGTATCTTCTTTCCAGAGGTTTGATTTGATGGATGCCACAGATTTATCGGCAATTTTGTTCTCGAGTAAATCAAAAGGGCCGATCGTGTAGCAAGGAGGAAAAAGTGAAGAGAGCGTGCCCAAAATGTCGGGCTCTAGCTCATGAAAAGTGTTGAAAATGATGGCGGAAGCTGTTTTTGCTCGCTCTATTTGTGAACAGAAAAATTGAACCATATATTCGTCTTGAGGGTAAATCATTCTAATGAAAGGGGGGATATCTTTTAGACGTATACCACTCATGGCAGGTATACAATCCAACACTGTATCCAAATATCCATTCACGAGACAAGTAGGATCTGAAGATTCATAAAAACGATGTTATCAGTTTATAACTCAACAAGAAAACGTTAAAAACGCTTTTAAATTTTTTTGTTTATGTTTATATAGTTTTATACATAAAATAATGCAAACATTTCATATTATATCTCAATTTTTAGTCTATTTTTGGGTAACAATATTGTTTTCACTAAACATGTTATCATCAAATAAGAATCATTATGATATTTGAATTACAAGCAGGCCCGTTCCTGACATTTTTTAGGCCCTGGGCGAACGTAAAAGCAGGGCTCACGGCAAGAAACAAGGCTTTTAGCAACGATTTTTTTCGTCGCTAAAAGTCCATTTATCATTAGAAAAAGTATATAACAACATGTCGTCGCTATAACTTGTGGCGGAAACATGTCGCTAAAAAGTGAATCGTCAATGCTCACTTTTTTTGTAGTGACCCTCGGTAAGTACGAAAAAAAATTCAATAAATGTTTTCTATTAGCATAAAATTGAGTACAAGAAATGTTAATA